TTGGTGGGGCAGAGAGCCAGAAGTGAGCCCCTCTGCAGCAGGGGCAGTGCAGAGCCTTCCTGGCCACTGGGCCACAGCTCCCAATCAGCATGATTGCAATCAGCCAGGGGAGTGTGCATTCAACAGAGCAAGAGAAAACATGCAATCTGCAAAATGCATGTCAAAAATCACAAACAAGGACAACAGAAACAACAGGGGAGGGGGAGTGTGGGAGAGAGGACTATCGACAGCAAGATCCTTTGAATGGCAAGTGGCAGGCTGTGCTGGCTGCCCCCTGGGACCGGGCTGGGGACTAGCGGCTATGTGTAGGGCCAAAAACCCAAGAACACTGAACGTGGAGAGGGGGTAGAACCCAAAAGCTCAGAGTCAGCCCATCAATCAGTCTCTTCTACTACTAATTTTCCCTCATGTTTTTAAATTTAAATCTCAGCTTCCTACAAATACCAGTCAATGAACCGTCCAAATTTCCTCCAAATACCCTTGAAAATGTTGAATTATGCAATTAAGGATGGTATAATACAATAATATGAGAAGAAATGTTGTCATACATATTTTAATGAAGCACACAGACTTGGGAGGAAGAGGGAGAGAGAAAGTGATTTCCCAGAGCTGCCTCCGCCCACCTTCTGGTGACAGCTGCATCTTCATTGTTAAAATCATGCTTTGATACGAATCCCAGAAGGAATGTTCACAGTGGACAGGAACTTGCAGGGTGGAGCTACACAGACTAAGGTCAAGTTGGTTAGCAAATATTTGGAAGGAGGTCAGTTGGCAGGAGGTTATTTTTTTCATGGACAGATGCACCATTCATTCATTCATTTATGCATTCATTCAAGATATTTCGCCAGACTCTGGTTATCATCTTTGCATGTGCATTGGAGTGACCAGTCATCCAGGTTTGCCCCAGACTGTCCCAGTCATAGCTCTGAAAGTTCCATAACTCACAAAAACTCGCAGCCCCAGCAAATGGGTGCAATTGGTTACTGTGATAGGAAAGTAGTATTTGCCTGGCTAACTTCACCATATTCACTAAGCATCAGCTAGTATCTCCCCTGGAAAGACTTCTATGAGAACACGAAAACGGATTTCATATTCCACGACCTTTAGTTGTTCCTACCATACAATATTGTGTGTTGTCACCTGCTCATGCCACGTAGCCCTCTCCTCTCACAATCTGGTCATAGCTCTTGGGGGTCAATATCATGGCTTAGTGGTAATTTTATCTCTACCACCTCACAGACCATAGACCTTGTAGGAGCTCAAAGTTTCATTGGAAAAATGATGATGAAAATAGTAATAATAATTAATAATAATAATAGTAAGAGTTTGTTTACATCTTCTATGTGCCTGACATAAAGAGCATAACCTTAAAGGATATATAGGGTTTTGATGGGTAGAGACAGGGAAACGTGCGATCTAGAGGGGGAGAACCGTGTACATGTTGAGTACAGCACTTGATAAACTCTAGGTAAATAGAACCTGCTGAATGACAGACATTTAGGAGTGTAAGAATAAAAGGTATTTGAGGAGAAGTGATTATAAATTTGGCATGAAAGCAGAGTTGAAATAAGAGGCTACAGAGGAAAAAATAGGCTGGCTATGTAGGTGAGGCTCAGTTGTGGATGCCGTGAATGTGATGAGTCCTCAGCCTTGATGGAAGAGAAAATGAAATTCCAATACCGGTTTCAGGGTAAAAGAACGGGGAGGTAGAGTGTAATAAAAAGTTTCCGGGGCTTACATTCTTCTATACTTGCGTTTAACTGTGAATTATCACTTGGAAAAGTCACTTACTGTTTCTGGGGATTGCTGCCCCCTCATCTGTAAAACAGGGGTACCGATAACTAACTTTCAGAGTGGCTTCAGATCAGATGGAATCCGTGTGAGTTGCCCAGCACAGTGAGCTGTGAACCGATGGCAGCTCTCAGCACTGTTGTCGTGGTTGTTATACATTCGAGAGCTTAGGAAAAATTAATCCAAAAAGCTGTGGGTTAAAAGAGAATTTTCCCCCTTATGAATGGCCACCAGACAAGCTACAACCTGGATCAGTTGCTCTCTTGCCTTAAAACAAAACACATTTGGAAAGCAGGGCTCTTTTATTTCATGGGTCTCAGGGCATTTTAAGTATTATGGTTATGATTATTCCTTTTAATCTATGGTTCTGTGACCTGAAAACACAATGGACATTATAATAATTGTCTTTTAAGTCATTTGCCTGTTCTTTCATAAAGACTTCTGAGTTGCTTTATTTATTTATTTATTTGTTTATTTATTTGAGACAGTGTCTCACTTTGCCACCCAGGCTGGAGTGCAGTGGCATGATCACGACTCACTGCCGCCTCAACCTCCCTGGACTCAAGTGATCCTCTCACATGAGCAGCCCCACTCTAGCCCCAACCCCAAGTAGCTGGGACTACAGGCATGTGCCACCAAGGCCAGATAATTTTTGTAGTTTTTTTTTTTCTTTCCTTGGTAATGACGAGGTTTCACCATGTTGCCCAGGCTGGTCTTGAGCTTCTGGGCTCAAGTGATCTGCCTGCCTCAGCCTCTCAAAGTGCTGGGACTGTAGGCATCAGCCACCACACTTGGCCCTAAGTTGCTTTTTTTCTGCTTCTCTCATACAGGCTTGCTTCCCCTACACTAGAGGCCAAACAGTTTGCAGCTTAAGACCACACTTTTATTTCTTCAGTTTGTTCACAGTACCTAGTATGGATCTTGTATACTCAGTGCTCACTCCCTGCGAATTAATGTTCACATCATGGCACCCAAATCCCGCACCATGTGGTCCCATTTTTTTCAACTTGATATCCATGCTCCAGACACATGGATGTATTTGATGTCCCCTAAGATCACTGTGCACTGTGAAGTCCTGAGGTATTGAATCCATCTCCTGTTCCCCGAGCGTCGGAAGGATCAAGTCGTGTTCATGATTTAGCAGGTAGACTGTGGCAGTGGCTGTTTGTGCAGGAGAGAGTGTGGCTTGTGAATCTGGAGTCACACCACCAGGGCTCATCTCTCTAGACCACATATTTCTCTTTGGTAACACTGGGAGAATAACAATGCCTCTTTATTGTTATAGTTGCGGAAGGTACCGTGTTAGCATTATACATAAAGATGTCTTAGAAGCTGAAGATAACCAAAGCTGAAATTTATTAATACACAACGTGAGAAAATGAAACATACCCAAGACTTGGCTTTCAGCTCCAATACTACCACTGAGAGCTGGGAATCATGAATAAGTCACTTTGCTATTTTAGATTTCAATTAATCACCCATAAAATGAGAGTAACAGCAATTGTCCTGCCAACTTTTCAGGGCTGTTAGGATTATAAGGGAGATGCTGTATGTAAAATTGCTTGATAAACTACACAGTGCTATACAAATGTAAGGGTGTGAGTTGTTAAGCCAGCAGCCTCTGGAGCAGAGGGCTCATGGAACCCCAGGTCCAGCAGGTGCAGGCAGAGTAAACTAGGGCAAGTTCTTGGGCCTCTCTGTGCCTTCTTTCCTTTTCCAAAATGGATATGGCAATAAAAACTACCTTGCAGAGTTGTTAGGCAGATCATATATGTTAATGCATATCAAGTGCTCAAGCCAGTGCTGAATACAAAATAATTAGGTAAATGAGTTATGCTATTATTGTCGGTATTATAATAAGCAGTACTGCTCTCCCTGTGTCCCCAGATCGTCACCAGATCTGAGTGTCTTCTGTGTCCTAAAGTTACCATCCCCATGTCTGTCTCTGAAGCCACTGAATAAGGTGACATTTGTCTTAGCTGTTCTCATTCCTCATCTTGTCTTCTTTCGCTCCGGTATTCTCTGATTCCCTATTGTCCTGAGAAATGCAACCCAGATAAGTCATTTTACACTGAACATGACTCCTTTATGCTGGGAGATAGCACCAACTTCAGTACTTTATTAGTTAATATCTTTACATTGCATTTGAGAGCGAAGCCTCTGGTCTAGATACGAACATGGCCCAGATTCAGTGGGGTTTGAATATTATACAATTTTGAGGTGCTCTTTAAGAAAAGAATATGCAATTAGAAATACAAAATTAGGTATGGATGTGAATATTTAATTAAAATGAGAAATCACAAGCAATAATTTTTAAAAGCTAAAATATATCCACAGACATCAGAAACTCCAGGAAAATAATATTGTTATTAAATGTCTCCCCAATGCACTGCAGTAACATTTTCCTGTATTCTCAGCTATATACTTTTTATTGCATCTTCAAATGCAAAGAATTTTATGTTACTGTTTCCTGTAGAAAGAATAGAAAGTAATTCAGTATATACTTTAGCATAGTTGACTGATTTTTTTTTTATTGATAGCCCAAGATAGTTTCTTTCAGATTCCCAAATCATGATTGGTAATGTTATAGAAATTCTTAGAATTTTGGTTTGGAAAAACACTGAGTTCCTTTCAAGGCCTATGACACCTGGTAGACTTTCCACAGACTAGTTTCAAATTTCCTCCTCTCTTCACATATCCTCAGTACTGGACCACAGGAGACATGTTCACATTGGACCCTGTGACTTCTGGGGGACATTTGTGTCTGCATTGTAGAAAGCAGACACATTTTTCTGAAAGCCATCCCGAATCAGAACAGCTAGCAAGAATGTAATATGCATAGACATGATGTGTGGTCCATAAAGTACATTTGACTAATGCAAACTCAGTGCATCCCAACGCAAATTTCTCTTAGGTGAATCCCCAAAATCCTTTTTGCCGTTGTGATGCCACCTGCAATATGATGAGTGTTATATCAGGTTAAAAGTGGTGGAAGCCCTGATTGATGGCAGTTAAAATGTCTCACTTCAGTACAGGTTACAAAATACGATCAGCTGACTATCTTCTTAGAGCCTCTTCCACAATCTTGCAAGCAGCCAGTACAAGTGAGAGGCCCTGTTTCTCTTAGCTTTTTTGGCACCAGGCCATCCCAAAACATAAGCGGGTAAGGCCTTCCTAGATGTTTCAACTTCAGAGGAGCACCCAGCTGAACTCAGCCATGGAAATGACTCCAGCTGTCAATGTGTGGAGCAGCGTGAGGTCATCCCTGCTGAGCGTAGTACAGCTTACAAAATCTTAAAGTAAATACTTGTTGTTGTTTTAAGCCACTAAGTTTTGGGAAGATTTTTTGCCCAGAAATAGATAATGAAAACAACAGACGAATGAATTTTTACTTAGGTGTGTGATGCTGTCATGACAAAATATCACGTCATGTGGTATTTTCTTTGGGATCATATGGCAGGTTAGGGGGTGGATCATATGGCAGGTTAGGGGTGGATCATATGGCAGGTTAGGGGGGTGGATCATATGGCAGGTTAGGGGTGGATCATATGGCAGGTTAGGGGGTGGATCATATGGCGGGTTAGGGGTGGATCATATGGCAGGTTAGGGGGTGGATCATATGGCAGGTTAGGGGTGGATCATATGGCAGGTTAGGGGGTGGATCATATGGCAGGTTAGGGGGTGGATCATATGGCAGGTTAGGGGTGGATCATATGGCAGGTTAAGGGGTGGATCATATGGCAGGTTAGGGGGTGGATCATATGGCAGGTTAGGGGTGGATCATATGGCGGGTTAGGGGTGGATCATATGGCAGGTTAGGGGTGGATCATATGGCAGGTTAGGGGTGGATCATATGGCAGGTTAGGGGGTGGACCATATGATCCACCCCTAACCTGCCATATGATCCACCCC